AGATACGCATCGGCCAAGTCAATCTTTGCGAAACATTTACCCCCATTCAGTTTCGCGAACAAGTCGTCTGGGAGAGGCAGGGGGTATTGATGGGTATCCAGTGCCGCGTTGAGACCGGGGGAGAAATCTGTGCACAACCGGCTCGTCCCGTTAGACTTCTTTACCAACACAATAGGTGCGGCCCAAGCCGAGTAGTTGGTCGCTTGGAGAACACCCGCCTTCTGAAGTCGGTCCAGTTCTTGGTCGACGATAGGCAAGGCTGCGTAAGGCACTGGACGTTTTGGCCTGAAGACTGGCTTGGCACCAGGGAGGAGGCACAGTCTGGCTTTTGCTTTTGTACACCGTCCAAGTTCGTCAGTGAATACAGACGCATAACGTCGTAGGAGGTGCTTAAGTGAACGCTTCGGCAAGTCAACTTGTCCGGGTGCTGCGTGTATGCCGTTGCAAATAGAGTTGATTGGTTTATCCAGCAGGTTTAGCTTTTCGATCCAATCTAGCCCCATGAGATCAAGTTTGGGGCATGACGTCAGGTAGCAGGTGGCTTGTGCCGTCGAGTCCTTGAAGTTAATGAGGCAGTCCACTTCGCCATTCAACTTCAGTTTGCCACCGGAAGCATTACGGGCTCAGTGATCAGTCGGCTTCACATATGGCTTACCGATTCGCTTCCACGTTCGTTCACTGAGCAGCGTGATATCGGAGCCAGTATCAAGTTGCAACCGAACTGGGATGTTGTTGATACGAACCGTCAGGAACTTCCTTCGCCAAGCAAAATCAACGTTGAATGTTGCCGTCACCGAGTTGGACCGCGATTTGTGAGCTGTACGGTGGGGTGCGGGTGGCTGCAGTCTTTGAGATCGACATAAATCTTCTTTGTGGCCGCGACGACTGCACCTGGAACATTTGTGACGCCTGAACCGGCAATAACGAGCAAAATGCCACTCACCGCAATGCCAGCAGCTCGTGGGAGGCTTACCCTGTCTTCGATCGGGCTTCTTGTCGGATTTCCTGGGCACGCTGTAGTTGATTGCCTGTACACAGCTGCTTGAGGTCACAGGTGACTGACCGATCATAGCCGTGTCGTGCTTCAGGTTGATGAGGCGTTGGCATTCAGTGGTGAGGCTCTGCAACGTCATTTCGGCATCCTGTTCAATTCTGTTAAGAAGCCGGGTTCTGATGTCAGCATCATGGGATGACTGGAGACCGGATGTAAAAATGAGGCACTTAAACTGATTCTCCGTCATTGAGCTGAAATTGAAGCGCTCGCATTCTCGATTGACAACGCCGGCAAACGTGATGAAATCATCATCTTTCTTGTCCAACTTTAGGCATTGGTCGCGGATAGTGAACAGTGGTGTTTGATCGCCGAATATATGGGACAGTGTTCTGACCACTTCATTAAAGCTGAGGTCGCGGGGCAGCTTGGGGAGAATGAAATTGTGAACCGGTTCATGCTCCGGTGTGCCGAGTTTTCGCAGCAATAGTCTGACTTTCCGTCCGTCATCAAATTTGTAAAAATCAGGCTTGAACATGTCCTCGTACCGCTTGAACCAGGAGTCAAAAGTGTGACCAGAAAGAGGGTCGAATGTGAACTCCGTAATTGAGGCCGCGTCTGCATCAGTTGAGGAAATAGAAGACTCACCATTACCGAATGCTGCTGTCTGGATATACAGTTTCTGAGTCAGGGATTCAATGAGCTTCAGTTGCGCTTCTTCAAACTGCTTTTGTTGCTGCTGCAATAGTTCTCGGAGCTGATCAAATGCGATTGACATCATGGGTTCCCGTTCGCCAATTGTAGTAACGGTATTTTCCTCAGCTTACTTCTCGGTCTGAGCCTCCCAAGCTATCGTTCACGTCAAAACAACCACCAAAGGTGCACAAGGTCTCTTAATGCCCGAAACGAAGTCAAGAACGGTTGTACAGCGCTTATTATATACATATAGCGTAAGCGGTTATAACCTGGAAGTTCTGACCCGTTGAAATGTGGAACAGAAATGTCGCGTATGTGCACAGACATATGAAACTTTTACGACTTTGCGTCGCTGTCTGGTCAGTTGATGCTAATTTTCGGATGATAGGCAGACTCAATGCACCCCTCTCTGCACACAGGTTGCGCTATTTAGAGAATGTACTTCATATATCCAGCAGTGCCCATCTCACGTAGCGGTGCTGGAATAGAGTATAGAAGCTATGACTAGTGAGGTCGATAAATCGATTCCTTTGCCGGAGACCTCAGATGCAGCATACCACTGACCTATTAAACAGAGATAGCTTAATGGCACTTCATCAAAGGAATCAACTTTGGTGCATAACTTTCCGAGTCCCTATCTCACAAGCGAAAAGAAAGTGCTTCCCATCAATGAGCCTCACTTTCAATGCATGCCTGTTATCTTTATTCATCCTTTCATCTCTTTCAAAGTCATCCTCACTTTGCTACCCAGCTTCAGTTTGGAAAGATTAACTGGATTGTAGTACTTTTAAGCAATCATTATACCGATCATTCATCATTCAGCTGTGTACCGCGAGAGTACATGAATCCCTGTTTAAAGCGGGCCAAAGTACGTCCTCTTAGTCGTGCTGTTATTGATAAACGTCCGTGACTTTTTTACGACGTTCTAAAAGCACCACCACATGTAATCAGTGGCCTGTTTTGAATCCAGGTATCCTACAGTTAAAGTATTTTGAGGCAATTTTCCTACCTACTTAGCAGCTGGCTTCGAAACGCATCATCTCCAACTGAGCTGGCTTTCTACCCAATGATTTCCGTTTTTCACCGGTTCCATCCGCTGTTTACACGCTCAGTTTGCTAATGGTAGTGTTACCTAATTCAAAGTCTTTAGTTTGCATCGGTACTTCAGGGTTTACCAATTCAACCAACCATGTTTTGCTATCCTACTCATGCTTGTTTTGTCACCACGTCAGTTTTGTCTCGCGGGTTAATCCCAAGGACTCATCAGCCCACGTCATTCTCGGGACGCAGCAGTTCAAACCGCAAGAGTTCGCAATCCAGTTGAATTTGAATTTGGACAACGCCTGGGGTATTCTACGGTGCGTGATCGACTTCTTTTTGAAACTACCCGTAGGAAGGTACCTAATGCTCAAAGATCCCAACAAGGTAAGTCGTTCAGGACGTAGGTCACAGCAATATTCCGGTGTGTGTGTGTGCTTCACAAGCCTCCTTTTACCCAGATAGCCTACACTCCGGAATTTTCACCAAAATCTCGCTATGTTGGAGATTTTTTTGTTTGTCAAGGTCGCTCCCCTCTCACTGTGTCTCCAATGGATAGCGGATCCTCACCCTTTCCGCTGCTTGGTCGATTGGGCTCTGGTCAAAAGCTCGGCATCTCCTAGAGCCCCCTTCGGTGCCGTTAACCAAGAACCATCCTGTTCATACAAAGTGTGACAGCTCAAACCTACGAATTTCTCAGCATCTCGGATCAACGGTTCCGAGCGGCAGATAGGACAACTTTACCTCCATCACTTATCCGAAGAATTTTTTCGTCCACCCGAACACACGCTCCAATCTTGCCTACTCTAACATCCGCGCTGGATTGGACAGTATGATTCATTATCCTGTAAGCTGAAAAGTAAGGATATCATTCCAGAGATGCCTGTATGATCTTGGCTGAGGGTGCATCCTACAATCAACAAACCACGTACGTAACTATCGAGACCCTCCATGGTCACGCCATCTTGTCCAGTGCGTGTGTGAGTCACACTTAGTGACCCCACAAAAACTGCGCTACCTCTTTTGATTTTTGCTGTGAATCGATGGTGATCAGCGGCTATTTTTCCTATTTGTTATGACCACTTGTTACTTAGTTGACCCCACAAAACTGCGCTACCTGAATGGAGACCCCTCTGTTGATTTTTGCTGTGAATCGACGGTGATCAGCGGCTATTTTTCCTATTTGTTATGACCACTTGTTAGTCGCGTGATTTACGCCTGCTTATTATACAAAAATAGGACTGCCGGAGAAGTTGCATCGAGCGCGCTCGTCTCCTATCCGAGGGGTTCAGGGTTCGATCCCTAGTCGACCCGCTTTCCCTTTGGAGCAGACCCAAGAATAGGTAGAGTTGATACGAAACAGCAAACGAAGCTGGGCAGTAGGAATCAACAGAGGGGTATCCATCCAGGTAGCGCAGTTTTGTGAGCTAAACCAAGGGTGATTCACACACGCACTGGACAAGATGACGCGGCCATTGAGAGCCTCGATTGTAGGATGTACCCTCAGCCAGGCACCCCTGGAAGGATTTCCTTACTTTTCAGCTTACAGGATAATGAATCATACTGTGCAGTCTAGCGCGAATGTTAAAGTGAGCAAGATGGACGCATGCGAAAAAATTCTCCAGACAAGTGATGGAGGTAGACTTGCTTTATCTGATGTTGAGAACCGTACTCTATAGCACCGGTTGATCCGAGATGCTGAGGAATTCGTAGGTTTGAGTTGACTTTTCTATGGGGGATGAGATGCCGGGTTATCAGGGCTTCCTTTGCATCATCTCGGCCACTGTCGGGTTCGAACCACCGACCTTCCGATCAGTAATTTAGCGCTTTAACTGCTAATCCACCTCGAGCCTAAACCATCGGTTTGGTTACTATGACATGTCACCGGCTCACATCACGAACGATTTTTGACTGCGTCGATTTTTCCTTCATCCGTGGACTGATGTGTGCAAAAACGCACAATAGCACACTACCCTGTTGTGATCTTTGTTGACGTGGGGAACACTGGATATGGTCGCTTACTGCACTAACATCGTCTGAATGCAAGGAAATGCCTACTCTCGTGGGCTGCCGAGGAGTTTTCAGCAACCTTATGAGTAGTGCAGTACAAAATATATATGTATCGCGGTATCTCGAATATCGTGGCAATTGAAACATGAGGTGTCCTCGTGCAGCACATTCGGTTGCCTGGAAACGTCAAAACCGAGAAGTTCAGCTGGGTTCTAGGTGAGTCTCTCGAAAAACCAAATTAGTTTGTAATTCGGTGCAATTCGGTTTCAAGTAGAACATGAGGTTGAGGGAAACTCGGGGACTGCACGTATCTGATGAGCCCAAGAAGGACGAAACCGGTCGTGGGCTGTCGAGAAGTTTTCAGCAACCTTATGAGTAGTGCATTATAAAATGCCTACTCTGTCGAGTGTGCAAAGCAGTAGGTGATCAGAAGACGTGATCAGGCTGATATACTGTCGCACCATGGAAACTATGATGTTGTTGGGTATTCTGTCCTTCCTAATCCATTGATTCCGCGCTTTATACTTTCCAGAAAGCAGGTCCCATCTAGGCTGAGCACAAGTAGTGTGTGAATTTAAGACCTACTTTGGATCGAAGACGCAGTCCCTGAGTTCGCGTCTAATGCACCGATAAAAAAATCGTTCAGCTGTAGCACTCTTCCGACGCCTAGCTGCCATGCCACACGAAGGTTGCACGAGGGCTGGGATACTGCCAGGTTGCCCAAACCTAGCCAGGGGAAGTCGTGAGGCAGAAGTCGGGTACGAACCATGGACCTTCCGGTCAGTAATTTCGCGCTCTAACTACTTGATCCATCTCGCCCCCTAATGCACCGATGCGACCATGGGGTCCTGTAATGTGTAGTAGGCTGCTGCACGGATATAATGTCAGGGGCTTCCTAGCGCGCTGTGTCAAAATGTGCCTGGGAAATTTGTGTTGACACAATCATTTCGGAGAATTTCCATGAAGTACAATAATTCCGTCAAGGTATATTCCGTGGAACGATGTATGGAGAGCTACCGTTTAGATTTAAAAAGATACGTCTTTATTTTTAACAAGGTCATGGGAAATTTTTACAACAACTGACCCATTTATTATGGAATCTATGCTTGAAAACTCCACACCAAACTGTGGTTGTGTTTAACATTTTGGAAATGTTGATGATGAGTCAGTTAACTGCGAATAGTTTTTTATAGAAAACATTCTTATGTTAATATTTTGATAACTTTCTGTGAAAAAAAACAGCGATTACGTGCCTTGTGACATTGGTTAGCCTAACGTTATCATCATGGTGAGCAGCAACACCAAATGCGAACACTGGTGCTTCACTGTCTAACAACCATGTCAGTTTGATTCACTGAACCCTCTAAATCGAAAGAAAACACCGATGGGAAAGAGAGAGGATCTATGACTGGCCTACCCAGATCTATAGAGGTGCCTACACCTCCAGCCAGACAATCGGAATAGAGACTGACAGTGTGAACGCCGCTGACACCAGCTAGCCGCCAGGGTCACGTAGACCCCATCCTGGAGAATTAACTTCGCCAGCGACACCCCCATCCTTTATTCTCTTCTGCCATGTCAAGTTCTTTCCACCTTTAGATTTCCGCCATTCCGAAATGGGTACGGGAAACCTATGGGTAGACTAAATATTCGCTGTGTGTCCAGACGGTGTTCAAGCAAACACCTTCATTTCTCCCACTAGACGAAGTAGTCAAATTCACGCCTGTTTGCAGTTTCCCTCCGGATTTTTATCATTCTTGAAATCCGGGTGAGAAAACTCATTTGAATTTATTTGTCCCGTTCGACTCAGAGTGGGTGTTGAAGCTATGTTAGGCATTGGTGGTACTCCACGGGCGAGATGGACCAAATGGTTAGAGCGCGAATTTACTGACCGAAAGGTCCGTGGTTCGAACCCGACCTCTGCCTCTCGACTTCCCCTGTCTAGGCTTGGGCAACCTAGCAGTATTCCAGCCCTCGTGCCTCCTTCTGGTGGCATGGCAGCTAGGCACCGAAAGGGTACTACAGCTGGACAATTTAGTGGTACTCCACCTCGAATCCGTTATCGGTGGACTTTTCACGACTAAAGACCATATTCTGCTTTATCGCTTTGTCATTCTCGGTTCGTGATTAGGAAAACCACTTTGATACGAAATGCTACCTACAGTTTGCGTCTCTTGTGTGTTGAGGCTAGATTTTGCCCACCATCTACCTTCTCACTTTTCACTTCTCTCTAGCCAATGTTGCGCATCTTCACTCTCCCACCGGGCACGTTTGATTCCACGGAGAGTGTGAACAGCGATGCAGAAAGCGTTGCAAACGATGCACAAAAAGCCGCATCACTAACTCGTATCCAAGAGACAGACGAAGCGGAGCACCAAGAGAAGCAGCAAACTGCAGAATCGGTGGTCAACAAAGACGAATAAGCCCCCGTCCCTGCTGACTCCTTTTTTTTCGCGTTTCCCTTGATCACAACCGTATTCCTTGATTCCAAATACAGTGGTTTTTTGGTGTTTATAGTTTCCGTCTTTTCCTTCCACACACTCCGCTGATAACACGTGGAATTTCCAATCCGAATCCGTATGCATAACTGATCGAATTTTCTGGTTGTTTTGTTTTTTCTTCTTACTGTTAGGAACCGAGTGGTTGCTGTGTTGTGTCTATCTGCTCCACAGAATGGTATCCTTTTTCCTTAGTGAAATCGGGTTAATATCTCGACTACGGTCACTAATAGCCACATTTATGGGATCCATCTTCTTGATGGGTTTTTCTGTTGTGCTGGTTGTCTTTTTTCTGCACAAGTAATAATAGTCGTCTAGCTGTAACACCGTTTCGATGCATAGCCGCCACGCCTCCAGAAAGAAGCACCAGGGCTGTCAGGTTGCCCAAACCTCTACGAATGCTTTCCGTAGTTCAGTACTTAACTCTGCCTGGTTCGTATTCGGCTTTCCTGATATATTTCTGCCTGAACGTAACCAGAATGGGACATGGAGTAGTGTATAACACTTGGAGCGGCGAGCATTTCCTCATGCACAAGAGGGAGAACGAAAAGCTTGGTGAACGTGCTGTCGCGCCGTGCGTTGCAGTTTACTTTACTATCCTCTACTATTCTATCAGAACGTGGGATGAGGGGATAGAGAACACTGCTTTTGTGTTCAAAACCCACTGTGATCAGTATCTGTCAGGACGCACCCAGACATGGAAAAAGTACATGTGCAGAGAGTGACGCATCCCCAAGTTCACCATCAGTACGACACGTCCGGAAAGTAGGTGAATTGGCGGCTCTCACCAAACACGGCTTAGCAATATACGACCAGCGTAGTGGGCCTGAGAATGTTCACGACTGAAACACCGCCATTGGCTGTACGGAGCGAACAAGTGAACGACCACATTTGACCATTTAGTCAGACGCTCTGTATGTTTTGTCCTGGCCATACAGCCATGTCTCCAGTTTTCTGTCTCCCCCCCCCATCGTGTAGTCTGGTAGGCTCAGTGCAGGCGTAATCAATAGACGGCCACCCACGATGCAACAGTGTCTATATTACTTGTGTTTGTGTAGTATCACATCGTGGTTATTCAACTGTTGTGTGACGGCTTATTACTATCAATATTTTGGCGCCTAGGGAGAAAAACGCCATGGATGACTGGGGGAGGACCGGTCTTATTACCATTCGGTGGACTATCATATGCTGTTGGTGGCGAGATGGCCTTAGTCGTTAGAGCGAGTTTACTGACCGGAAGGTCCGTGGTTCGAATCTGACCTCCGCCATTCGACTTCCCCTGTCTAAGCTTGAGCAACCTGGCAGTATCCCAGTCCTCGTGCTACCTTCGGGTGACATGGCAGCTAGGCACCGAAAGGGTGCTACAGCTGAACGCTTTCCTATGCTATACGCTCATTGTATACCCATCTTTGGGGTCTTGTTGAGCCTTCCACCAAGAAGTGAACCTCAAGGCCCTCTTGTTTACTCTGTTTCATAATGGACACATGTAAGTGAGAATAATTACCCCTCATGTTGGATGTTGATAGGCTGACAAAGTGTATATCAGTTAAGTGTGTGGGGATTGCTCATACTTCGTTGTTGACGATATAATGGAGACAATCCAGCGCGGTCCCAGAACCCTGACAGCTAAACCGACAGATACTCCGTAGGCAACGCCAAGACTAAGTTTTTGCCTGCATGCCTGGATCTCCAAAACAACACTCGAGTATTCGGACTTGGGGCTCAGATGGAGGTTACTTTTCTAATCAGGAAACTCCACCTTGACATCCACATCATGCGACCCTTCTTCTTTGGACGGTTTGAAAGTAGAAAGGTAACAACGATCCTGGACCAGAAACACTTCGTTTGCTGTTTTAAGTCAGATGGTTAAGTATTGTGGTACCATGAAGTACGCTCATCATCGATTGCCACAAACGGGGAGACTGACGTAAATCCGAATAATTCAATAGTTTACTCTAACAAGCCCTGGCTCCTAGCGTCGCTATCCTTGTTCCTGATCGTCGGCTTCCTATCACGATTGAAAAAGTCAGCCACAAAGCTCTGGAGGCATTCCAGTGACTCGTCAACTTCTCAAAAGAGGGGATTGTGTATGCTAACTTAAGAGTTAACTGTGCTTCAGCAGTGATAATTTTGTCCTTCTAGAAGTGACATTAGTAGTCATATAGGGCACTTGCATAATGCAGTAGGAATTTCGACAAATCGCCTCAGCTGTTCACTTGTCCCGGAAGTTTCCTTGCGCAGCAGATAGCTCTAATTGTCGATATGGCACATTCTTGTCAAGTTTCTTTTTACGTCTCTATCTCCGAAAGTTTTTGGGATAGAAAACGCGAGTTAGCGACCGATTTGGGGATCTGGCTTGGCTCGAACTCGGTTTTGGAACGATTTTATTCAGTTGGCCACCCGGTCCAGTTCACCGAACAACGGTATACACGATTGTCATTATCATTTCCGAGAAGAACGCAGCGATAGACATTCTTTACACAAATGAGGCTGTTCAACTATGAGGGCTACATAAAAATCGTTGTCATCTGGGGAAAAAATCGTTCAGCTGTAGCACCCTTTCGGTATCTAGCTGCCGTGCCACACGAAGGAGGCACAAGGGTTGGTATACTGCCAGGTTGCCCAAGCCCTTGGCGGGGGAAGTCGAGAGGCAGAGGTCGGGTTCGAGCCACGGACCTTCTGGTCAGTAAATTCGCGCTCTAACCGCTCAGTCCAACTCGCTCCTCTCATGCGGCTGATGATAGGATTTTTTCATAAGCCTGGAGAGAATTCTGATGCTCTGTTTTTGATATACTATTGGGCTTTACCGTGCCTGTCCAGTAACGATTTGATAGATATCTCCTGTTGAGATGGGAGCGGGCAGGATGGCCCAAGTGGTGAAAGCGCGAAGGTCCGTGGTTCGAACCCGATCTCTGCCTCTCGACTTAACCTGTCTAGGCTTGGGCAACCTGGTAGTATCCCAGCCCTCGCGCTTCCTCCGGGTGGCATGGCAGCTAGATACCGGAAGGGTGCTACAGCTGAACGTAAAAAAATTCCCAGGCTACATGTTGCGTTGGTTACTCCCTCCCGCGTAATAAACAGCAGTCTTATCATTGTCTTATTTATTTTACCGTTTCACTCTTGGTGGATATATCGGATTACGGGCTAGGTCATACTCGTGGTCGAATTACGGGGCAGGATAACTTTGTCTTCCCCTAACACCCAAAGAGTTCTTGTACATCTATTTTCAGTGCTCATGTTAGAAGGCAGCATTTTTTTTCACCTTCCAGCCTTATCGCTACTCCTGTCTTATCGTCAAACTTCATCTCGAGTGGGTTCCATCCCTCGCATCGCTTGGTGGTTGTGGTCTAGTTCACAATGCGTTATCAACCGGTTGGCCCGTACGAAGTATTCTCCTGGTCCATAGCTGGCAATGAAACTTGTGTGGGTGTTCGATCTGATGAGATGCGTTTCGCTTTCGACATTGGATTCGCCCCGAATCCTATGATTTCGTGTGATCATGTCTTTGTCAGGTAAGCGTGGGGTTTACGGCTGACCTTACCCCCATTCATTCATATTTTCTTCAGCCACGGTCACGCAGACCACGTGGGTGCGATTGCTCAACACATGAAAAAGCGACATTTGAATCACCTTCCAAAAGCGTCCTACTACCTGCCGCCATGGTTGGTTGAACATGTGCGTGGAATATGCAAAGCCTATGCAGCCATGAGCGAACTTGATCCAGAAGGAACGGAATTCGACTGTCCCCTGGTTCCAATCTCACCGGGTAACAGGATTCAGGTGGGGTTTCGGATGCGAATGCAGTCACTCATTCCATCGCGTGTTTCCATACTTCTTTTGCTCGAAGTTTGTCACAAAGTGTTGCGGGAAAGTGAGGAAACATTGTACGCATGTTTCAGCTCTTTTCGGCATTGTGCACCAATCTGGCTAACCGAATAAACTGCCGCTAGGTCACAGGCGTTAAAGTTTGGGGATCAGTGTGCTTTTCTCAACTGTTTGTGGGCCCTTACCCCGTGCAGTGTGATGGAATTGTCATAAGTTTCCGGTCTCGAATCCCACTTGCGATATCGTATTCGTCTCTCTAGGTGTAACTCATGCCTTCTTTGCCTCAGCTTCCCGAGAACTGGATCGTCGAAGCAATCCAAACGCATCATTCGGTGAAAAGCCAGGGTTATATTCTCTCCAAGCGTGATAGGGACGGTCAAGAGTATCCGGAAATCGCCTATCTTGGTAAGAAGGTTCGTCCCCTGTCCTTGTTGAATTGCCTGCTTTTCTGATTCTACGCCTAACACTCGCTACCATAAGCCACTTATTGTAGTTGTTATGATGCAAAGTGAGATGTAGCTCACCTTAAGTAGCCATGAGCTCGAGATAACTCAGTGGTTCAGGCGCCGCATAGTCCGAATCTGACCCCGAATTTTGGTGTCTTGTTTTTCCACGCGGCCACTGAAAAGAACCGTCTAGCCATTATCTTCCTTTCACCTCAGGACATCATAGACGGTCGACTGTGTGGCTTTGAAGTGCCTAGCAACCTCCACTTTGTTTAACGCTTGATGTTGCCTGATATAGACAGACCTGCGATGTCCGCTCCTTTGTGAAGGATTCGCGCATGCGTTGGAGACATGATGAGGATCACAACGAGTCCGTGAAGCGACTGACTGATGGAATCCGGTGCCCTGGGAATAAACGAACACTCTCGTTCGTCGCTTACTACAACTCGCAGCGACTTTTGTCAATTGTACGAGTAAAACCTATATCACTGGGATGGACCGTGCTGCAGTTGTACCTCAATCAGCAAAACAGGCGTTTGATGCATGCGGTGTGGCATCGAAGGTTGAGTAGCTAGGCTAAGCCGGCGCGAATCGAGTACGTTTTTGCTGAGGGCCTCGATGGTAACAACTTCGTTGTGTCTAAACAACTGAATGAATGCGTTTCTTTTGTGGAAAATCGCCCAGGTGATTCTCGGTTCTCCGTGCTGACGGAAGCACGAACAAATTGTCCGGGGCTTCTCTCTGTGCGTCTGCTAATAATGGAAGCCACCTTCCTGGACCGTCCGGAACGAATGCTGGAACGTGCTGTTTCACACGGTCACACGCACCTTACCGAATTGAAGCAGAATCCTTCCCTCTTTCAGGTTTGTCCTGTTTTATTTACGCATCACTTTCAATATAAATTTTTCCTCGCCAGTCATCCTTGGCCCTAGAACGTCGAATTCTGTTAAAATTTGAATTTCACTTTCCGTATATTTTCGAATTGTCCTCGCTAGCTTTTTTCTAAAAACTTAGTTTGTGTAGGCTCCGGGTGGCATCCGGCAAAGATGCCCACTCTGTCCACTTCTATTCAATTTCGTGATCGCCGACTCGGTGAGACGAATGTTAGAACCTTGGTGTTCGACCAGCTACTGATGAAAACCTTGTCAATACAAAATATGCAGACGGTATCACTCTTGTTTTCGAACGATAAAAGAAGCTGGGCTGCTTTTGAATGAACTGATCAAATTCCTTTCGTTTTTGGCATGAGATTTGCACCGAAAATGTTTGGGGTGGTGCTCCTGGGCACGCGGTCACTGAACACATCACTTACCATCTAACTGGAGGCACTCGAGTTGATAGAGCATCTTACGTATCTTGAAAGTTGTATAGATTCCGACTGTATTGTGACAGATGAGGTCAGTGCACGAATCTAGGACTCGAGTTGCGTTTGCACCTACCGATAAAGCGGTCTATCAATGAATCTCAAGACCGCTGCGGTTGTAAGTTTGTAATGCATCGCCTATGAGAGCAGTGGGACTGAGACGTCTTCAGGTCTTCGATAGCCGTTGTCCCAGACCGTCGACTAGTGTTGACTGGTTACAACAAATCCCTAACGAGGCAATCAGAACTGTCCAGCACCCAAAACTATGATGATGTATTGTGTATGTCGAAAAGAGTGCTGTTTCCCGTACCCGGTTCCGAGTAATGCAAATGGATAGATGGCCAACCTTTGGGCCGATAGTGGGACTTAAAGGAGATTGTGATAATCGTCTTTGAGGATGGAATCTGCGTGATCTTTCCTGTACACGCTGCTAGATGTAGCTGCTATTCGATATCAATGGCGTTCTTGTTATCAGAATGTTTAAATGAGTTCCTGGTGGTGTAGGCACTTCGGAATGATTGTGGTAGACTGACACTAAGTCCCTTCTCTGTCCACTTTTTTTGCAATAAGGTGGACGATGGCCGTATGCCATTGCAGCATCAGTGCTGAACACCGATGTCATGCTCTTCTTTAGTGCCTTTGAACTGTCTTTGCCTGTATTCATCCCTAATTAGCACCTCAGATGCACGACATACAAGTGGAATAAGTTTGATTCCGTCTTGCACCGTTTTGCCAATAGAAACGGTTCGAAACCATCCCTGAACTGCTTTTGAATTTTTATCATATTATTTACGGTAAAACTGATTGTTCTTTCTTCATTTATAATTTGACAGGAACATTCAAGCGAACTTAGTTAACAGAATGGATGCCGTTCGCCCCGTCTTCCCTCTAGCTCGTGCGAACTAGACAGCAAAAAGGACCATCGTCATGCGGAACCAGCGTAGGTGACCAGTAATGTGTCACTACTTTGATTCTATACGACAAAAGTGTAGGGATACAAGTTTGCAGTATCAATTTAGCTGTTTCATTAGGGTGAACAGCGTTCAACACATGTCTCTGAAAGAAATTTTGGAAGAGTTCTAAATGAGTCAAGTACATGTAACCTGTCATGGTACTCACTTGTGCTCTGCGAGGTTGGATAAAACCGGAACCCGTCCTCTGATGACTAACTGGGGGTCATGTCGTTTCGGTTTGCGAACAGTCACTGTATTTTAACAACATTTGGCCTTCACTTTTCAGCTTTCCTGTGTCAGTCCGCTCATTTTCCTCTTCCTCTGTACAGTCCATAGAGAACATCTATCTGATTCACTTTTCGGCGAGGTACAATGCGGATCAAATTGCTAGCCTCACACGCACTGGAATTCCCCGCTGGCTGGCCGACCGAATTGTTCCATCTCTTTGTGCACAGAGGTGTTTGACACTAACCTAACGGCTCGAATATCCGACGGATCCATGTGTTGCCAACTTTTCATTGGTTTCTAACATTTTTTTACAAAGTTCCTTTGCCTTGAGTGGATTTATATGCATATATTACGAATCTATGTTGGCTGTCACCAGAGAAAAATAAAAGAACATCACTGTACGTGTTCTCAGCAGTTCTACTTTTGTCTTCCAATTTTATCACATCAAGAAACCAATGGAAGGTGAATCTAAAGCTTTTCCGAACTTTTTGTTCAGGTGGGGCGGTTGGATAAATATGAGCTATGCTTACTCATAAGTAGTTCGGCAAAACTCAATTTTCTGGGGCGACCAGCTGACAAGACCCGTATTTTCATACATTTCACAGAACCCACCTTATTAGCTTGAAACTTCCCATGCAACTTCCAAATCCAAAGGAACGTAATTCCGGCGTTTGCAATTCATTACGTGCATGAGAACCTGCCATTTGATGCCTCCTCTCAGGGGAGCTAAACAGTGAATACTCTACAAGTTGCAAATGAAACTCTGACCTGGCGAGGCCAATTTCTAGCACCAGCGAATGTTCCTATACTGTATTTTCACATGGTTATACACCGATGAAAGTGCATTAGTATCTGAAGGTGCACCCCCAACTCGGTCATTAGGCTCAGAGCGGAACACGTTGGTAAATAAGGTGAAACCATAATCTGTTCATGCAAAACCGCCAGATTTTGCCGCGTCTGGGCAACGACATCGACTCAAGTGGGGATGGATACTTTTGCCTTCACTTTATGTCGGAATATTCTGCCACAGACGTACACAAGCATGACTCTGGCTCGGTCATTTACCCCCAACCGATTAGGATGAACTTCGGGTGTCTGATGATTCTAATGTGATGGCTCGTGGCATCCACGATATGAGAGTTGCATTCGGCAGTAAGTGCTTCACTTTGCTTGTTCTCAATAAATAGTAGCCTGTACTCTTCCATTGATTATCTCCGGATGTACCAACGGTCGACCACGTTTATTTGTTAGCCAAGCAAGGTGCACTATATGCGAACTCCCCGCAGTTGATTCGGCCGCTGTGAATCAACGAGCGTTATGTCGGTTGGACGGATGTGTCGCGAACTGGCTACTGACCAAACAAAGGCATACAGCGATTAATCGGAATGTGAGCCAATCAGAATCGAGCATTTCTGGCTCGGCGCTCCTTGCACAAGCACGAAGATTCCATCGTGACCTTGTGGATAACTATAGATACAGTTGTAATGATTTTTCCTGTGCTTCCATAAATGGCCGTCTCAACCTTTCATGTCTTCTGATATGTGATGGTGGGCGAAACAGGAGGCCAAAACTGACATGGGAGTTGTACTGCCATCTGCAAAACACAACACTTGCTTTCCTTTCATCTGGGCTGACTAGGGACCAATCGTTTCCGTTCCCCTCAGAAGTCTTTTGTAGCTCAAAAATCACGAGCTGAGCCACAGATTTCGGGTCCGCCACGTGATGGTGGCAGGATGATTTGCGAGAGCGGCTATGTCCGGGGTTGAAAAGTGGGTGCCGTGAAAGTCAGCTTCTATCACGTGCCAGAAAAACCATACCAGCAACCAATCACCCTGACAGAGCACGTAGAGCATTCAAACGCCCGATACTGGGGAGTCCAAGATATGATAAAGAGTGCCGATAGATGATAAAGGCTTGGGAGTTGGAGTGGCCTTTACCACAACAATTCCAGCTGGTCTGATCATTCCGACTGGGGAATCCTACTGCTCACTGGGTCACTGAAGCGCTGTCTTGAGTGACGAGTAGAACACTTCGGAGAACAACTGAGGTAACTTTAAACGCACACGTAAGAAACGTAGAATAACCCGGAATCGGATCTTGACACCGGTGTATCATCATAGACAGAGACGATACGTGAAATCTGACTCCTTAGACGTGACAAGGCTTCCAGTCTGCTTCAAAAGTAGGTGGTGATGGCTGTTTTTCCAAACCTGCATGTTTATTGACCGGAAGGTCCGTAGTTCGAGCCCGATCTCTGCCTCTCGACTTCGCCTGTCTAGGCCTGGGCAACCTGGTAGTGTCCCAGCCCGCGGGTTTATTCTGGCAGCGTGGCAGCTAGGCACCGAAAGGGTATTAAAGCTGGACATTTATTTTTGAACGATTGTATGGAACCAGGACCTGGTACCACGGGAGGTAGCGCCTCCGTTGTCATCCAGATCTTCGCAGTGTGGTCAAAGAATCTCCCACGAAATCCACCATAGTGTACGCTCGCGTCCACGACGATTCGTGGCATGATCTTTCACAGATTAGTAGATGACCCATGTACCGGTGTATGCTACTGATGAAGCGTGCAAGTAGTCCAATATCCATGCTCCGCCCCCGTATCTAACGGAAGATGAAAGTTACTATGGAAATTATGCAACTGCCATACAGTGTTCGTCTATGATTGTTTAATATTTGGAGGAAAGTTCAAGAGGACGCTTGGGAATGTTTACTTTAAAAAACTCGGAATGGTAATGCTAGCATCAATAGTTCTGCCGAAGCAAGGACGTTATGTTTCACAGTTGATAGATAGCACTTCAAACGCATTCGCTGTGTACAACAGGTTGGATTTCCCTGCGCTTATATTTGTTCGGACTGAAGTCTTGTTAGATCCACATTACACGGCCGAAAGTGCATACGACAAGTGACAACAGAATGACTTTTATGAAGTAAAGAATCGATTGGATATCGTTTTTTCCTGGATACGGGAAGATATTTTTCAGTTCGAATTAACGTGATGAACGTTTGTGGGGAGGGGTCACATCAGATAAGTAGTCACTATCTTTTGCCCGCTAAACAGGTTGGATAGTCATCCTCTAAACTGGAACCACGATTTTGACACAACAGTTGGGAAGTCACCTACCTCACCGGAACTTGAGTCCTTCGTTCCTCCGCGACCTCCCCGAGTAGGTCATTTCAACCTGGTCATCTCAATCTCCTGAAATTTCCCATTTATCGTGCCAGTATACATGATTTTCTACGGTACACTCTACGGTTCTCCATCCTTTTTGTTTTCGGTTAAAACTTACATTGTTTCGTGAGTCTGTTTATTCACATTGTCTGATATTGTGACTCAGTTGGCTAAGTATATATCCTTTGGTACGAGTCACAGAGCACACCGGTGTACACACGAAATAGTAACAAGAAGCTTCATGCTTCCGCTTAAACTGATTAATACTGAGTAAAGTGAACACTGTTAATGCCTTCTGTCCATTCCTAAGCAACCCCCACAGTTACTGCTATATCCATTTTCTCGGTCGAACATAGTGACCCCCGATATTTTTGAATTGACTGCAGATCATAGGAGGAGAACAGACCCTGTGATGCGCCAATTGTATCAATCGATTTCCCATCAAACCTCCACTCGTTGTATTTGTTCAACAGTCTACGACTTGCCATATAAGTCTGATTCACTCCCTCCCTCCTCCTCGCGAAACCTTGTCGTTCGCATCGGACAGATTACTTATTGCGGGAAGCCGGAAAAGATTGAGCCTAGCACCCAAACCTTATGTAGTCCCATATCGAGGATACCTCTTTGAGGTAGCTCGGTGTTAGCGACGCAAGCACCTAACAAAAATTTCCTTAGTTCTATTGCAACCATGATTTCTAAATGTTCATGGCTAACTTTAGATAACCTAGACCTCGAGATGACATCGCGGGTGAGTGATTTTTTGCAGCCGAACCAGTTGATGGAATCGCTCCACTCAGTCGTGAATTGTTGATTTCCATTGTGAGGACTGCTCATTTCCTGAATATTTCCGGGGCACTCGGCTGAGGATATCCGGGCTGGACTCTCGTTAGCGGTCTTGTACTGTTTGGTGCGACTTCACCACTGAATCGAGCGGAAAGGTTGGTGATTACCGAGACCCATCTACTCCCGTCATTGGTTAACTGGCATCACACTGACCTACATCGAACAAACCTTTTTGGGACAGAATGTTTAAATGAATTTCAAGGTGCAATCTTAGCTCGTTGCGGCCAGAATCACTCTACGGTTCTCCATCCTTTTTGTTTTCGGTTAAAACTTACATTGTTTCGTGAGTCTGTTTATTCACATTGTCTGATATTGTGACTCAGTTGGCTAAGTATATATCCTTTGGTACGAGTCACAGAGCACACCGGTGTACACACGAAATAGTAACAAGAAGCCGAGGCCTATTTCGAAGCTGTGTTGTTGTTCGCAACGGATTTCGGATCTTGATTTCCAGATTCTGGTCTGCACTGCTTCATTTCTGTATTGAGGCAAGAGCTTTTTGCTCTTGCCCGCTGTAGCAACATTTCTGCGTACTGAAATGTAAGAGAGAGTCTACGCATCAGTGGCAACGTACACAAGTCGTTGTGTACTGCAAGTCCCTCAATGATCATGTGTAATCAAATACGGCATCCGTAAAAATACGCACCTTAGCCATACTGCGATATGTATCAAGACCTGTATTCGAAAGTACAAAATGTCTGGCTTGACGAAGCTGTAGAAGGCATTCAATAACAGGACACAGCATTCTGGAGTGGTGCAAATAACTGAAGCGAATATTGATGTGCCTTAGTGTGACTCAAGTACATCCCATTGGGCTTAACGGAGTGACTGAATGACCTCTGAACGACCACATTTGGTGCACAAGAGTTCAATACACTTTCATAAGTATTCAAACGATGAGCGCGTTATACGCATTTATCGACTAACAACAGCTTGGGCAAACGTACCGTTGTCACATGGTTTATAGCTGATTCACTGAACTGACAACAGGGAAACTAACTGAACTGAGTCGGTTCCTTCCACCTAACCGTGAGTCGGATCTTGGCCACCCTGACTCACTGAAGTCTCCCAATCACTCGAATTATTGAAGTTAGGTTTCGGAAGGATGTGCCACAACGAGATCGACTGTTTGATATAGAGAAGGGGATGATCTCAGCCTTTCTTGGAATGCATGTTAGTGCACCTGAATAAAACGGTCGACAGGCGTTGCAGAACATCATCGCTGGACTTAATATGTAATTGCATTATAGAAACAGAAACGAATTTGAATACAACACTCTCGAACAACGGCTTGGTCATAAGCTTGGTAGCCAATTTCACCTAAGCACGTGAACTTGAAAGAATCTAGGGTATCAGCAGTCACGTGACTACTGTCACCATATTGGCCCACGTGCTAGCAGAGCTCCAAGCACCGCAGTGTTCCTCTGACTTCTTTTCCTTCTCACCTTAGACGTGTATATCACTTCGATTTAGAATCACGGTGAACTTGAATTACCCGTCCATTCTTGAAAACATGGGGTTAGTAGGCTTTCCTACCTACATCATTGATTTTTCGGCAATATCTTGAGAGTACGCAGTAAACAAGAGTGAGCTTAAGCATAAGCAACTTTAAGTTCTAAAGCCTACTCATGAGATTAGCTTCTGAGTCGTCGTACACTGATGTACTTTGCGAAGTATCAAGAACATAAGTCCCCAGCCGTTCATTCGGTACTGGACTAGCTAGTTGGTAGTGCCTTGGTTCGGAAACTTCTGTCAGCATACATCTAAGCCTCACCTGGTATCGAGCCTTGTCACACTGTCCACTTCAGCTTCGTCTATGACACCGTATAAGCGTGCCGTTTGATCGCCACCATTCTGACTCGGAAACCTCGAAGTAATCTAGACACTCGAGGGTTCTCACAACTTTGTGTGACAGTGAGTGATGTGTAAACCGATAATGTGGTGTAAAGGACACATGAATTTTAATCTGGGACGCAAGTAGTGCACACTAAGCGCTCATCTCTGCGACAACTAGCGCTGAATCGGAAGTCAACGTTTCTACTCTGGGACAATGAGTTAAAGTGGAATATCAATCATTCGACGCCGATGTTATTCGTATCCAAGAAATCGATAATTCGAAAAATGAAAGAAAAGAACTATGAGTAGTTTTATTACAATCGTCATAACGACGCCATTGGTTTTTGAAACAAAGTGCTCGTAGAGCGAAACCCACTTACTAACCATTCTTGCTTCTAACTTATGTCCGAAATTCTTAACTTTCTGCACGATAGAAACACGAGGAAACCAGTTTAACTAACGATCTTTAATCTAATGGATGACTTGGTTTCAGGAATTGAGTTGCCTATATATATATATATATGAGTCATGTTCTCGCGACAGTCTCTCCTACGTCATTCATTGCCTTTGCATTCATTGTACATCGTCTGATTGTAATTGGGTTCTCACTGTACGGAAACAAAAAATGTGCGCAGTTGACTGCGCGGTGTCTGTCAGGGTGTTCACTTCCTTTTACGTGAGTTGTTGTCCGGTTTATTGTTCTTTCACTTATTTGTGAACAGGAGACAAGATGACCACAATGAGTGTATGGTGACTGAATGAGGGAATAAAGAGTAGGCAACTGTTCGGTTCATGTGCTACGCGTACGACCACATTCATTGCCACAGCTGTTCAATCCAATCAGTGAAGTTTGTCAGTGCCCACGCGGTCGGGAGATCCGAACCGATTATGTCCGTTTGGTAAGTCAAGGCGGATTCCTCAGGTCATGATTCCCTCATCGACCGAGGCGAGTGACGCTGGATACGGGACAGAAATGGAAGGCCGGTCCAAGGAGGTTGTAACGGAATAGTCTTTCTCGAAAACCTACAGTTTTTGCTTTGAAAACTCTCTTGTGAAAATTTGCATATTGCTGCAAAATCTTGGTGAACTAATGATGTATATCAGGTCTCTCCTCATTGCTAAGCACTAAAAGCAAACAAGAGGTTTGATCACGTGATACGATAATTAGCGCTGACCGATATGCCAACTGCTTTGTCATCAGTCTGTCCAGAATGAGTATCGGTTAGTCTATTTCGTACTTTGTTTGCAGATTTTTGGGGTAAGAAATGAAACTGCTAATTCATTCGTGACATTTGAGATAAAGCTTATTTTGGTCATAATGGACTGATGAGTCAGTCGTGACAAGTGACCAAAATTCATTGGGGTCTTGCTACGATTTCTTCACCTCTCAGCCCAGATTCGGACAGGCAGCTGCATTAAACTTTGAGCCTTGTTTTTTCCAATTTAACTTTCATGATATCTGTCGCATACAATTGAGTGTTGAATTCACCATCATATGCTTCCCGTTTTATTCCAATCTTTGAATAGAATAAGGGGCCTCTAAGCCCTCAATGAGGAATACCTTCGTTTGCACTCAGAAGTTGTCGAAAAAACACTTAAAAAGGTGGTGAGAGAGTGTTTTTCGTGCTGTTATCAGACAAGCGAAACTCACTTGGCGTGACCGAATTAATCCAGGAGAACAACCTGCTGCCACAATGCGGCCCAGCGCATTGGGGACGTGACCGTCACCTTGAACTGCCTTGTTATAACAGTGTACTACATGGGTTTTTGCGACTTCTGAACGGAATGCGCGGTAGCAGTGGGCGCAGCGAAGTAAGCCTGTCAGTTGTGGTAGAATGAGAAGAAACACTAAAACTGGTTAGCCAATAAGGATGTTGCTGACGCAAACGCGCACCTAGTCAGATGGGGTGTGCTTATCTACGCTTGTATATTTCACACTACTC